AATAAAGAGAGAGAAAGTGAAAAATTAGGTGACTGAACCATAGCGTCCAAGACTCAGGGAAAATAAACCTTAAAAAAAGATAAGAAAAAAGAACCTAAAGGAGATAAAGGAGTCCCTAAATTTTTCTCACCAGTTAACAAACCAACAAAAGGAAAAAAGATAGAAGAATCTGCACTTTCAATTTCCCACCTAGATGACTCACCCAGTAGTGCGCATAGTTCCAACGAGACACATATTACCGCAGACTTTCTAAAAAACTGTCTGGAGGAACAATTGGAGGCGAAAACCAAGCAAATATATACAAATACTGAAGATATAAAACAGCAGATTGGCAGCCTCGTCGGTAGAGTCAAGACAGTGGAAGAAAAGTTAGACAATTTAGTTTTTCAAGAAAATTGGCTGAAAGAACAGAACTCCTCATTGATTAAACAACTAAAAAATCTAGAAATAAAGATGGGAGACAGAAGATTGTGGAGGAAGAAACAATATGCGCATGAGAAATGTTCCAGAGTCTATTACTCAACACAAAATCTTGGAATTCTTAAATAAATTGTGGCTGGCATGGGAGATTGATCCAACAAAGTTCAACAGTAATATAGAAAGATACTACCAAGTCTTTAGAACAAAATCTATTCCAGACAACCTGCCAAGGGACATAATCATCAATTTTCAGTCCTTTCAAATTAAAAACAAATATACTACCCACTAGCAGATTAAAACATCTTAAAGAAGAAGAATTCAACAACATCATATTTCTACAAGACCTATCCTTCTTTACAAGATCCTAAAGAAAAAGATTCTTGTCAGTGACCAGTACACTATGGAAAAATAATATCAAATACTCCTGGGGTTTCCCAACCGTGTTATAGATTCTCTTAGATGTTCACTCTGTTATGTTAAACCTGTAAGAAGAACCCAAGGTTTGGGTGCAAGAAAAATTATTAACTTAAGAAAAGAAAAAACATGAACATAATAAAAGGGAAAGAAAAAAAAGCTTTTAGTTGGAGGTGGGTGGGGAGGATGGGTTGGTGAAAAGTAGATTTTTTTATGCCTTTATCAAAGATCTATATGAAATTGTATTTCTTCTAAATAAACTTCTATTATAAGAGTTCAGGAAGAGTGTCAAACTGTAAACGTTTAAGTCATATTTTAAAGGTGTTGTATATTAGAATAATTAGTAATACAATAATTAATTGTTGACTAAAACAGATGCCAGAGGGTAGACATAATAGATCTGGTTTAATATATGATACAAAGGTTACAGAAGGATCAAGGTTTGAAGCCCCTGTACTCATTATTCTTGAGAGGAAAGATAGAGAGAAGGGAATGTAAGTCTTTTCCTTACTCAATCTTTTCCTCACTCTTTAGTTGTTTTGAGAATGATCAT